AGAGTTCTATTTTCTGTTTGCAAATCTCAAAATGATGGTTCTTTCCATTTGTCAATTCCTTTTTGGGGAGGGTGTAGCAAGCAGCGATACTCCCCTTGTGAATAGAGATATCCCTTCTATTGAAGAACTTGATCACCTGGGGGGTATTGCACAAAAGCAAGATAAGGGATTAAGCTGGGATTTTCCAGTTATCCTGGCTGAATTTAGCCCTGACTCGGTTGCATGAAGGGAGGCTAAATTAATCTACATTAAGTTACTATGGAGATTTACACTTTGCAGCTAGCCTGCTCTTGAGCAGGCTAACAACCAGGCTAAGATTAATCCTAGTAATTTCTCCTAGTAATTAAAAATCGGCTAGTTCCTCCCTAAATCCTACTAATATTAATGTTTTAGTTACTTCATGGTCCTGCATTAAAATACTAGATATACTGTCATTCATCTAAGTATGCGTACTGCTATTTTAGTTGTTATTAAAAACTGCTGTTCATTTCACTGTCAGAGGTTTGATGAATATATATATATATATATGTATATATATATATGTATATATATATATATATATATATATATTATTTGAGATTTAAAGTGTTTATTGGCATACACCTGCAGTGAGGAAAACAGATTTTCCTGAGCAATTTTTTTTGCTTTGCTTTGCTTTCCACAATAAATGCCAACACAATGCAAAAGAACTACTATACAATATGAGAAATAGAATATAGCCTATGTATATCTATGCAAATCTAGAGTAAAATGTATAGTTGAATGAGAAAATTATAGGATATTTTATTGCAGTTGATGAGATAATAAGAAATGGCTCATTAAGTCGTAAATGTGGTTTCATTTAAGTCTGTCACAAGGTTAATATGTAGTGTATATATAGACTAAAGATTTGTTTTTCCTTTTCACAATGGCTTGCCCTTTGTTGGATGATGCAGTTGATGAAGAAGTTTTAATACTCAGGCGAGCATTCAGGCATGAAAGAGTCTTCCGAGAGAGGGCTGACCCATTGGAATCACTGGCTTCCCTTTATAGGGCCAGTTATAGGGCCAGCTCCTCTGCTGTGGTGAAGTCTTGGGATGGAGGGCCACCCCCGTACCAGATATATTACCTTTTTTTTATTGCTAAAATCAGCACAGACGATTAAATATCAGCAAACATGACATTTAATCGTCACCATGTTCTCTGCAGACAAGTCACTTACCAGCCTGCAAAATATTCTTGTATTTAATCTTGACTTGCTGCCAAGTCCATTTTTGGCCAGACATGTTTGTTCTTTAGATACATGTTAAATACATGTTAGATGTTATCTATGTTAGATACACGTTATCTATGTTAGATACATAGATACAAATGATGAAATAGATTAGATGGATAAAAATAGAGCAAAATATCTGATTATAGATTACATTAAATCAATTAGGAAACAAAACCTACAAATAGATGAGAGTAAAAAGATTAAAGAGATAATAGACATAAAACAATCTAAATACATCAAATTGACACATAGTGGGTAAGTGTCTGCAATTATTCTTCATGTTAAATGTATGTCCACTGGTCACATTTAAGGCAAAGTATACAATTATGTTTTTAAATGACAAGTAACTCCTCGAATTGTAATTAAGCACTGCACACTCAAAAAATAATGCTGGGTTGTTTTAAACTAATTTTGGGTCAAATATGGGCAAACCCAGCTGTTGGGTTGAATTTACTAATTGCATTTTTAAATCCAACATTTGGGTTTGTCCATATTTGACCCAAAATAGGGATAAAACAACCCAGCATTCTTTAGAGTGTGTGTAAATTTCTGATAAAACCTTTAGTTCAGGAAATGTGCTACCAGGATGGTGTGTCCATTAAAACACAGGGGTCCAATACTCAGTCCATTATCATTTATTGAAAGGCCACAGGGTGAATTGGAATCAGATAGAGTTGTATGGTTTCTATAAACAAAAGAACAAACAGAATCTTAAAGATAATTAACACCATAGAACTTCAACTAATAAATCCTTAATCACATAATACATTTCAGAATTAGACAAACAGAATCTCAAGAATTAACATAACAAAACAAAGCAAACAAACTTACATTGTCAGGAACACATAAACTCTACAAAGGCTCTCATTAGGAGAGAAAGAAAAGACAATCTGTTTCCATTGCATGTGCCACACACCATCACACCAAACAATAGTACCTTATCATTCATTAAGTGCACCTGAGGAGACTTAGCTCCTCCCATGATTGGCAATGTCATGTGATCCATAGGAATTCTCAACAGCCGCCCCCAAATGTGTAAACATTTGACCCAAGAGAATTCTGTCCAATTTTTTAATTCAAGTCATCTGAAAACTTAGTAAGGACCACCAGACGACTAACTGGGCGCATGTAGTGTTTCCCTTTAATGAGAACCTCCACAACCCTTATCCCGTTTAGGTCTCGTAGAATCATTTTGTTCCATCCTAGCAGCCTTTCCGGTGTTGTGCCTAATTTCGACCCCCTGCCAAATTATTACCCCCCTCGTTGAAGTCAGTACCTGATTGCCTAATCCCAACCCCGCCCCTAATCTTAACCCCTCCCCCACAACTAATCCTAAACCTACCAATACTAGGGGGGTAATAATTTGGCGGGGGTCGAAATTCGGCACAACACCGGCTCGAAGGACCATGTAAATTTCTGATAAAACCTTTAGTTCAGGAAATGTTATGGTTATGTGGTTATGGATTTACTCGTTCAATCGGTCTGCTATTGTTTGGCAGGTATTCTATCTTTGTTTTATTAAAGCATCTTTATTAGCTTTTTTACATATTATATATGTTTCACTTCTTCATATGTTTCCATTAGAAGCTGTTGCTCATTATGCGAAAAGTATGCCGCACGCGTTTTGTCCATTTTTGGATCGGCGATTCTGTGATCGATTTCGTGCTCTTTTTAAGAATGCCGTGAACGTGCATTTATCCAAACTATACACCTGGCTTGACATATCCGCGCGTTCTCATCCTGGCTCAGCAAACGTGCAACGGATTAAGCCAGGATGCACTGATCTGACTAGGTCAAACCGCGATTGTTCAGTTATCCTGACTTTCTTAATTCTACTTTTGTGCAATACCCCCCTGGTCCTCCAGCGTCTGTTTTTCTTTCTCTATTATATCAACTTCGCTGCTCTCCCCTCGGGTGACATTGGAGTAAGTGCGGTGTGTTGTTTTTAGGCCACTAATGACCACATCTTCTTTTCTTGTATATTGCTCCAAGTCATCAACTCTTTTTTTCCAACTCTGCAATTTCCTACCCTATCTCACGACCAATTCGTACGAATTCGTACGAGTGATTAAAAAGTGGCTAATTCGTACTAATTCGTACGACCTCACTCGTGCGAATGGGCTATATGCACGCATAAGTTCCGCATTTGACGTAAGGATGCTCGTCCATTTCCGGTTGTGTAGATTAAAGCGGAGGAAAACCGGAGAAAACGGGATTATGGCAGAGTCTTCAATATTTACTGTCCTCCCGTCTTTGAAACGAAACGTACATACGTTTAGATGTAATTTTATATATAGTTATGTTTATTTAATATAATTTTAAAAAGAAGCATAAACACAACGAGGGGTGTCTGTTTTATCTGTTTTTGTGACTAACGTTTCATTAGTATAACCATGGAGTATAAAATTCAATATAAATTCTCGGTATTGCATTGGACTCTATGATCGGCGGAAGTTATCGAGCATCCCTAATGCTTCACCGGAAATAACGCCGTGCATAGAGCCCATTCATACGATTTGTCTAAACCCACGTGACGGTTATGTTTAGGGGCGGGGTCAGGGGTAGGTCATTCGTACGAATTCATACGAATTGGCCAATTCGTAAAATATGTACGATTTAGCAAAAATCGTACTAATTTGTACGACTGAGGTCGTATGAATTGTTACGAATTAGCCACCTCGTAAAGTAGGTTGTTTAGTTTTTTCACATCCTCTACCAAATCACGTATCTTGCCCACATTTTCAGCCATTCCATCAATTTTCTTTGCCAGTTCTCTAGAGCTTTCTTGACTTCCACCATTTTGGATTTGACTGGTTTTCACAGTCTTGACAAGTATTGTCAGAAGTTCCCCAAAACATCAAAATATTGGGAAATACTCATAAAAGTTAAATCCCAATGTCCATATAAACTTCACTTATCTACTTGGATGTCAAGTCATTTTCATGATTTTTAACAGATTCAGTTGCAGTCTCTCATTGCCATACACATTCGGCAGCCATCTTCAATTTTATTGTCTAATGTTCAATGCTCAGTCCATAAAAAACACTTCAAATTAATATATATTATTATTATATATATTTTTTGCAATAATCTTTCATATAAAAAGACCCAAATCCAGAAGATTTTAAATAAATATATGAGCTATAAGGTGAGACGCACAGAGCTCAAGAAGGAATTGCACCATTTAGACACGAGTTTCATTGTCACGTCACAGAGATTGAGCTTGATCCCTTTATTAGGGAAATAACTGGTAAAACATCTAAAAGCCCTGTCCAAAAAAAAAAAAAAAAAAAAAAAAAAAAAAGAAAGTTGCTGGACTTAGTGAATAAATACAAAACGATATTTCCCCAGTACTCTTGTGATAATCTTGTATCCTTGGCTGATTTTGGAATTTAGAAAGGGTTTTTTTTTTTAGCCTGCAGATATGGTTTCTTCATTTTTTTTTACTACAACTTTGTGTCTAAGCCCTTATGTAGTGGAGTAAGCTATTATAATTGAACACGACCAACCTTATAGTTTGGAACTGGGGCATTTAGCTTTAGGAACCTAATAAAGCTGGAAGTAGGGGGCACCCCACAATAGATCACAACCAACAATTTCTTTAAAAAAATAAATAAATACACAATTTACATTATACAGGACATTCATTGCCTTTTAAACCCCTTCCCTAATATCATTCTACGAAACAGATCTTCAGACCTTGCTATGCAATATACATTTATTGGATTGTCCACAATGCACATGCTTCGATTCAAAATGCTTTTATTATTTTGAGGAGCGTTTCAGAGAAAATATTCAGAGACTAAAACTCAGATTGGATTTCAGAATAACACTTGTAAATACACAAACAGATCAGAAAAAGTGTAAAATGGAGGAAGACTACCGAGGAACTCGCACATCCAAAACACAAAGATAGCTCATTGAGGTTGAACAGGAAGCATCGTTCCAGCAGCGGTCAGCTGTAGGGTGGAAAAATGAGATTGTTTACTCATTACAGTGGGGTTAAAGCACTTGATGAAATCCAAACAAGTCGTTTAAAGTTACCATATGATATGAAATGGGATTGCAAATTATAATTGAAAAAGTGCACTCACAGCTCCAGTCGATCTCCAAACAGTTCTCGGGACCATCAGAATTGTTAGGTTCCTCAGAGCACCAGTTGTTATGGTTAAACAGAGATCCATCACTCCAAAACCACTCTCCGTCCTAATAAGTGAAGAGAAATACAAAGTGCACTAGTGGTCAAACTTAAGCCTATTAAGTTCAGCAATCAAATCAGACCATCTTCATTAGAAACTATGCCTTTGATTAAAGCAGAAATTTCAGTTTAGCTAAACGGTTTTTTTAGGGCACACAAGTTAACTTACTTGTTCACCATCATGAGCACCAATCCAAGTTCTTGTGGAAGCCGGCATCAGTCCCAGCAGGAAATCATTCTCTTCTTTATCATGCACAGATGCGAGATTCGCACCAAGACTCTGACAGAGTCTCTGAAGAAACAAATTTATCATTACAAAATCTAATCTTTTTAGCAGAAAAAAACAGCAATTAATACAGCTGTAAGTCAAACTAGGATTACTGTTGACCCAGTGTTAACCCACCCTTAAACCCAACCATTCCGTCAAACCTGTCCCTAACTTTTCCCACCTCAATAGCAGCAAAAGTTAACAATAAAATGCATTGTCTAAAGTAAGCATTTAGATACTCCTAATATAAAGTCTTGTCCAAATAACTTTGCTGTAACTAAAACATTACCTCTGCTGAGGCCCATTGAACTGATTGAGAGAAGTACTTAAAGCACCGGTATCCAAGACGATTCCATCCACGTGGGCATCTTCTTGCAGGTGTCAATCCTGCACATAAATGTTTTGGGGATTTTGAAATTGCAGGAAAAAAAAAAAATACTTTAACTAATTTCAAGTTTGTGTGATATGCCAAAAATTGTGTAGGCCTACTAAACTTCAAAACACACTTAGACCTATAAACTAAAATAAATAGACTAGCAAGGGTTTTAACAGATTAAGGTTTTGGTTACTTTGTGCATTGCCCAAGGAGAAGATAACAAAAAGTAGCAAAAGACTTCTCAGCACTGCCATGATGAATCTGAAATGAACCTAAAAACGAATAGTAAAGTTAAAAAATCTCTATGTATTTCAGAGACAAAGCAATAGTTATTCAGTACGTTTTTGTTTCAAACACTCACCTTGCTTTTCAGATTGTTGTCTTCAGAATCTCAGAGAACGTTTCTGTGAGTTTCCAGAAAGAGCCCTGCGTTTATAGCCTACTTTACTTAGTGGGCCTCAGTTATCAATCTAGATCCGAGCGCAGAAATCATCTTACGACAGGGTTCACGTGTGAATCACGAAACATTCGAATAACGACAGCCAATCCCATCGTACGAACGATCGGCCATTGATTAATGTTGCGGCTGAAAACAATCGTCATATCACAGCCCTAAAAAAACACAGTTTAGAAGCCGTAACTTCCTCATTACCTTCACCCAGACGGTCATGACAACGCAGCACCGTGGAGTCCATCAGCTGTTCGCAACACATAAATGCCTTACTATTGCTGTTAACGCAACAGTTTTGTTATTTTATTGTAAATTGTATTGTCTAATGTTTAATGCTCACACAGTCCATAAAAAACACTCCAAATTAATAAATAATCTTTCATATAAAAAACAGACACAAATCCAGAAGATTATATATATATATATATATATATATATATATATGAGATATGAGAGAAGGTGAGACGCACGAGCTCGAGAAGGAATTGCACCATTTACACGTGTTTCATTGTCACGTCACAGAGATTGTGCTTGATCTCTTCATTAGGGAAATAACTGGTAAAACATCTAAAAGCCCTGTCCAAATAAAAAAGGATGTTGCTGGACTTAATCGATAAATACAAAATTACATTTCCCCAGCACTCTTGTGATAATCTTTTATCCCTGGCTGATTTTGGAATTTAGAAGGGTTTTTTTTTTTTGAGCCTGCATGGTTTCTTTATCATTTATTTTTACTACAACTTTGTGTCTAAGCCCTACGGAGGCGTATTGCATTCACTTGAAGAAAAAAAAAAAATCTACTCTGTTTTTCTGAATTAATGAGTTAATTTTTCATGAGAAAAAAATTGCTCTGTTTTTCTGAATTAATGAGTTAATTTTTCATGAGAAAAAATTTTTTTGCTCTGTTTTTCTGAATTAACGAGTTATTTTTCATGAGAAAAAAAGTTTCTGTTTTTCTGAATTAATGAGTTAATTTTTCATGAGAAAATATTTTTTTTCTCTGTTTTTCTGAATTAATGAGTTAATTTTTCGTGAGAAAAAAAGTTTTTGCTCTGTTTTTTCTGAATTAACTCGTTAATTCAGAAAAACAGAGCAAAAAAAAAAATCCATGAAAAATTAACTCATTAATTCAGAAAAAGAGAAAAACTTTTTTTCTCATGAAAAATTAACTCATTAATTCAAAAAAACAGAGCAAATTTTTTTTTCTTCAAGTGAATGCAAGACGCCTCCGTAAAGCCCTTATGTAGTGGAGTAAGCTATTGTAATTGAACACGACTAACCTTATAGTTTGGAACTGGGGCATTTAGCTTTAGGAACCTAATTAAGCTGGAAGTAGGGGGCACCCCACAATAGATCACAACCAACAATTTCTTAAAAAAAACACACACAATTTACATTATACAGGACATTCATTGCCTTTTAAACCCCTTCCCTAATATCATTCTACTAAACAGATCTTCAGACCTTGCTATGCAATATACATTTATTGGATTGTCCACAATGCACATGCTTCGATTCAAAAATGCTTTTATTATTTTGAGGAGAGTTTCAGAGAAAATATTCAGAGACTAAAACTCAGATTGGATTTCAGAAAAACACAAACAGATCAGAAAAAGTGTAAAATGGAGGAAGACTACCGAGGAACTCGCACATCCAAAACACAAATATAGCTCATTGAGGTTGAACAGGAAGCATCGTTCCAGCAGCGGTCAGCTGTAGGGTGGAATAATGAGATTCTGATTACATGGGGTTAAAGCACTTGATGAAATCCAAACAAGTCATTTAAAGTTACCATATGATATGAAATGGGATTGCAAATTATAATTGAAAAAGTGCACTCACAGCTCCAGTCGATCTCCAAACAGTTCTCGGGACCATCAGAATTGTTAGGTTCCTCAGAGCACCAGTTGTTATGGTTAAACAGAGATCCATCACTCCAAAACCACTCTCCGTCCTAATAAGTGAAGAGAAATACAAAGTGCACTAGTGGTCAAACTTAAGCCTATTAAGTTCAGCAATGAAATCAGACCATCTTCATTAGAAACTATGCCTTTGATTAAAGCAGAAATTTCAGTTTAGCTAAACGTTTTTTTTAGGGCACACAAGTTAACTTACTTGTTCACCATCATGAGCACCAATCCAAGTTCTTGTGGAAGCCGGCATCAGTCCCAGCAGGAAATCATTCTCTTCTTTATCATGCACAGATGCGAGATTCGCACCAAGACTCTGACAGAGTCTCTGAAGAAACAAATTTATCATTACAAAATCTAATCTTTTTAGCAGAAAAAAACAGCAATTAATACAGCTGTAAGTCAAACTAGGATTACTGTTGACCCAGTGTTAACCCACCCTTAAACCCAACCATTCCGTCAAACCTGTCCCTAACTTTTCCCACCTCAATAGCAGCAAAAGTTAACAATAAAATGCATTGTCTAAAGTAAGCATTTAGATACTCCTAATATAAAGTCTTGTCCAAATAACTTTGCTGTAACTAAAACATTACCTCTGCTGAGGCCCATTGAACTGATTGAGAGAAGTACTTAAAGCACCGGTATCCAAGACGATTCCATCCACGTGGGCATCTTCTTGCAGGTGTCAATCCTGCACATAAATGTTTTGGGGATTTTGAAATTGCAGGAAAAAAAAAAATACTTTAACTAATTTCAAGTTTGTGTGATATGGCAAAAATTGTGTAGGCCTACTAAACTTCAAAACACACTTAGACCTATAAACTAAAATAAATAGACTAGCAAGGGTTTTAACAGATTAAGGTTTTGGTTACTTTGTGCATTGCCCAAGGAGAAGATAACAAAAAGTAGCAAAAGACTTCTCAGCACTGCCATGATGAATCTGAAATGAACCTAAAAACGAATAGTAAAGTTAAAAAATCTCTATGTATTTCAGAGACAAAGCAATAGTTATTCAGTACGTTTTTGTTTCAAACACTCACCTTGCTTTTCAGATTGTTGTCTTCAGAATCTCAGAGAACGTTTCTGTGAGTTTCCAGAAAGAGCCCTGCGTTTATAGCCTACTTTACTTAGTGGGCCTCAGTTATCAATCTAGATCCGAGCGCAGAAATCATCTTACGACAGGGTTCACGTGTGAATCACGAAACATTCGAATAACGACAGCCAATCCCATGAGTAGTATGAAGCTGCAGACTCGGAGACCTGCATTTACAGGCCTGCACCCAGAGTCCCGCATTCTCAGACCCCTCGTTTTTCGAGACAGCGCCTCCTATCAAATTGTATCGGATAAACATGTGAAGAACTTAAGCCAAAACATGAGTAGTAGATAAATAAAATCTTCAATTTTATTTAGCGATTCGTAGTAGACTACTCGTTTGATTTATTTTGTTAATAAAACTAATTTAGCTCATCGATACAACATATGAATAGTCCATTTAATATTTGTAAAGATAGTTTGAAACAAGATTTGAGCCGTTAATGTATGTTTTTTCGTCCTCTTCTCCCCGAAAATATTTAGATAGCTTATGTTTACGTTAGCCTTTAACCTTGGACTTTTTGTAGAAATGTCTTAAATGCTGCAGTTATTTTCACTGCCCATTTTGTGCCCCCATATATTTCAAACCCACAAAGTTGTCCAAAGTTCAAAAACATCTCAAGGGACACTTCAACAGAGCAGTGCAACATGGTAACTAACATTTGCAAACATTTTTTCTTTTTTTCTTTTTGAAACATCATAAGACATGTGCTATCGGTCCTATGGAGTTGCCCCTGCCGAATCCAGCAACATATCATTTTATGATTATGCAAAGGGACTTATAAATGAGTTTTTTTTTAAATGCAATTGAAGACGAAAAGTAAAGTCAAAAACACTGTTTTTTCTTCCTTTTTTCTTTACAGCAAGATGATGTTTAGGTGATTATTAAATAAAGTACAGAATTGTTTATTATTGGTGTTTTGTCTATTCTGGTTTTGCTTCGCATTCAAAATATCAAAAAACAGATATTGTAATGTTAGCATGGTAATGTTAATTAGACCATTTTAGGTTTAACTGAAAGAAAAAATTGAATTTGAATAAAAAAATATAATAAAAAAAACATTGTAGCAATATAGCCATACTATTTTTCTGAAGATAGTTCAATCTGCTAATTGTATCCCTTCCATCAGTAACAATTAGGGTTTTTTTTTTTTGACACATGCATTAAGCAGGGAACACAAATATTTATTGGATAATTTATTTGAAGACCGTAATATTACATCCTATTGTTTTAATTGCATTTGGATAATGCGCTGTACTCTGTGTGCGGGTGTTATTCGATCTTTTGAACAGCAGGAGGCGCTGTGTTCGAAAAACGAGGGGTCTGAGAATGCGGGACTCTCGTTGGGGGACTGTAGATGCAGGCTCCGAGTCTGCAGCTTCATAATATTGAATCCCATCGTACGAACGATCGGCCATTGATTAATGTTGCGGCTGAAAACAATCGTCATATCACAGCCCTAAAAAAACACAGTTTAGAAGCCGTAACTTCCTCATTACCTTCACCCAGACGGTCATGACAACGCAGCACCGTGGAGTCCATCAGCTGTTCGCAACACATAAATGCCTTACTATTGCTGTTAACGCAACAGTTTTGTTATTTTATTGTAAATTGTATTGTCTAATGTTTAATGCTCACACAGTCCATAAAAAACACTCCAAATTAATAAATAATCTTTCATATAAAAAACAGACACAAATCCAGAAGATTATATATATATATATATATATATATATATATATATATATATGAGATATGAGAGAAGGTGAGACGCACGAGCTCGAGAAGGAATTGCACCATTTACACGTGTTTCATTGTCACGTCACAGAGATTGTGCTTGATCTCTTCATTAGGGAAATAACTGGTAAAACATCTAAAAGCCCTGTCCAAATAAAAAAGGATGTTGCTGGACTTAATCGATAAATACAAAATTACATTTCCCCAGCACTCTTGTGATAATCTTTTATCCCTGGCTGATTTTGGAATTTAGAAGGGTTTTTTTTTTTTGAGCCTGCATGGTTTCTTTATCATTTATTTTTACTACAACTTTGTGTCTAAGCCCTACGGAGGCGTATTGCATTCACTTGAAGAAAAAAAAAAAATCTACTCTGTTTTTCTGAATTAATGAGTTAATTTTTCATGAGAAAAAAATTGCTCTGTTTTTCTGAATTAATGAGTTAATTTTTCATGAGAAAAATTTTTTGCTCTGTTTTTCTGAATTAACGAGTTATTTTCATGAGAAAAAAAGTTTCTGTTTTTCTGAATTAATGAGTTAATTTTTCATGAGAAAATATTTTTTTTCTCTGTTTTTCTGAATTAATGAGTTAATTTTTCGTGAGAAAAAAAGTTTTTGCTCTGTTTTTTCTGAATTAACTCGTTAATTCAGAAAAACAGAGCAAAAAAAAAAATTCCATGAAAAATTAACTCATTAATTCAGAAAAAGAGAAAAACTTTTTTTCTCATGAAAAATTAACTCATTAATTCAGAAAAACAGAGCAAATTTTTTTTTCTTCAAGTGAATGCAAGACGCCTCCGTAAAGCCCTTATGTAGTGGAGTAAGCTATTGTAATTGAACACGACCAACCTTATAGTTTGGAACTGGGGCATTTAGCTTTAGGAACCTAATTAAGCTGGAAGTAGGGGGCACCCCACAATAGATCACAACCAACAATTTCTTAAAAAAAAAAAAACACAATTTACATTATACAGGACATTCATTGCCTTTTAAACCCCTTCCCTAATATCATTCTACTAAACAGATCTTCAGACCTTGCTATGCAATATACATTTATTGGATTGTCCACAATGCACATGCTTCGATTCAAAATGCTTTTATTATTTTGAGGAGAGTTTCAGAGAAAATATTCAGAGACTAAAACTCAGATTGGATTTCAGAAAAACACAAACAGATCAGAAAAAGTGTAAAATGGAGGAAGACTACCGAGGAACTCGCACATCCAAAACACAAATATAGCTCATTGAGGTTGAACAGGAAGCATCGTTCCAGCAGCGGTCAGCTGTAGGGTGGAAAAATGAGATCGTTTACTCATTACAGTGGAGTTAAAGCACTTGATGAAATCCAAACAAGTCATTTAAAGTTACCATATGATATGAAATGGGATTGCAAATTATAATTGAAAAAGTGCACTCACAGCTCCAGTCGATCTCCAAACAGTTCTCGGGACCATCAGAATTGTTAGGTTCCTCAGAGCACCAGTTGTTATAGTTAAACAGAGATCCATCACTCCAAAACCACTCTCCGTCCTAATAAGTGAAGAGAAATACAAAGTGCACTAGTGGTCAAACTTAAGCCTATTAAGTTAAGCAATGAAATCAGACCATCTTCATTAGAAACTATGCCTTTGATTAAAGCAGAAATTTCAGTTTAGCTAAACAGTTTTTTTTAGGGCACACAAGTTAACTTACTTGTTCACCATCATGAGCACCAATCCAAGTTCTTGTGGAAGCCGGCATCAGTCCCAGCAGGAAATCATTCTCTTCTTTATCATGCACAGATGCGAGATTCGCACCGAGACTCTGACAGAGTCTCTGAAGAAACAAATTTATCGTTACAAAATCTAATCTTTTTAGCAGAAAAAGCAATTAATACAGCTGTAATTCAAACTAGGATTACTGTTGACCCAGTGTTAACCCACCCTTAAACCCAACCATTCCATCAAACCTGTCCCTATCTTTTCCCACCTCAATAGCAGCAAAAGTTTAAATGCATTGTGTAAAGCAAGTATTTAGATACTCCTAATATAAAGTCTTGTCCAAATAACTTTGCTGTAACTAAAACATTACCTCTGCTGAGGCCCATTGAACTGATTGAGAGAAGTACTTAAAGCACCGGTATCCAAGACGATTCCATCCACGTGGGCATCTTCTTGCAGGTGTCAATCCTGCACATAAATGTTTTGGGGATTTTGAAATTGCAGGAAAAAAAAAATACTTTAACTAATTTCAAGTTTGTGTGATATGCCAAAAATTGTGTAGGCCTACTAAACTTCAAAACACACTTAGACCTATAAACTAAAATAAATAGACTAGCAAGGGTTTTAACAGATTAAGGTTTTGGTTACTTTGTGCATTGCCCAAGGAGAAGATAACAAAAAGTAGCAAAAGACTTCTCAGCACTGCCATGATGAATCTGAAATGAACCTAAAAACGAATAGTAAAGTTAAAAAATCTCTATGTATTTCAGAGACAAAGCAATAGTTATTCAGTACGTTTTTGTTTCAAACACTCACCTTGCTTTTCAGATTGTTGTCTTCAGAATCTCAGAGAACGTTTCTGTGAGTTTCCAGAAAGAGCCCTGCGTTTATAGCCTACTTTACTTAGTGGGCCTCAGTTATCAATCTAGATCCGAGCGCAGAAATCATCTTACGACAGGGTTCACGTGTGAATCACGAAACATTCGAATAACGACAGCCAATCCCATCGTACAAACGATCGGCCATTGATTAATGTTGCGGCTGAAAACAGTCGTATCACAGGCCTAAAAAAAAAAAAAAAAAAAAAAAAAAAAAGTTTAGAAGCCGTAACTTACTCATTACCTGCTCATTACCTTCACCTGGGATGTTCATGTAATGACCATAGATGGTCTTTTTTTTTACAGTCTATGGTCTTTATAAAAAAATTATTTTTTTTTACAGTCTATGGTCATGACAATAACTTAGTTAGCACCGTGGAGTATCAGCTGTTCGCAAAAGACATAAATGCCTTACTATTTTGCTGTTAATGGCATAATTGTCAGATATTAATTCATTAGTGGTCATACTTTAACCTTCAGCCAAAAAGTAATTTGTCCCTAATAGCTAGGCCTATGTTTTAATTGGTTATTTTAAAATGGTTATTTAAAAACAATAGGCTATTATTAATATAGGGCTCCAAGCAGCACCGAAGGTCTTGCAAGCTAGGCCTAAATGAACCAACCATAGCCGCCTTGTTTTTGTTTAAAGACACAGAAAATATAAATGTACCATTTTGAGCTGACGATAGGCTATTTATTAAAACATATCCGTGTAGTTTCACTTCTAAATACATTGAACATTAGTTTAACTTTAAACACAACAGTTCATCCAAATGCAAAGTTTTAAAGGTCGGAATGGCACATAATAATAAAAAAACAAAAGCCTGATGGACTTCTAGCTGCAAATTATGACAATTGATCTATGACATCCTATGGTTAAAATGAGTCCACATACACCACCGACCTATCTTATGAAAGTAAAATGAAGGCTACAGTTCTTATTATTATCCTTTTTCTTATTAAGTTATAACCCCTGTGACTGGAGCGACAGTCAATGTTAGATCAATGGGCTCTATGCACGGCGTTATTTCCGGTGAAGCATTAGGGATGCTCGATAACTTCCGCCGATCATAGAGTCCAATGCAATACCGAGAATTTATATTGAATTTTATACTCCATGGTTATACTAATGAAACTTTAGTCACAAAAACAGATAAAACAGACATCCCTCGTTGTGTTTATGCTTCTTTTTAAAATTATATTAAATAAACATAACTAGCTATATATAAAATTACATCTAAACGAGAGCAGTACGTTTCGTTTCAAAGACGGGAGGACAGCAAATATTGAAGACTCTGCCATAATCCCGTTTTCTCCGGTTTTCCTCCGCTTTAATCTCCACAACCGGAAATGGACGAGCATCCTTACGTCAAATGCGGAACTTATGCGTGCATATAGCCCATATGGTTGGTTACTAGTAGCAATAACCATGTACTAGTACCTATCTGACGAAAACTATGGATACCATGTCAAATATTTGTCTGGGCATCAATGAAACAGATAAAATGAATATTTGTTTTTTAATAAACGGAGCACGTGTAAAGATGTCACTGTCCCTTTAAGAGACACGGGCTGACAGACTGAGCGCATATGCAGAGGCTCCCCGTCATCATAACGGCAGACACACAACACCCGTTGAGATCCCTCCTGATATTAAACATCACCCGTGTCGTGTGGTAGGAATGGAGATGTTGAATAATCGACTAAAATAAGGAAAAGTCCTCGCAGAGATCAAGATGGTGTCGTGGATCATTTCGCGAATGGTGGTGTGAGTGTATATGCGGCGCGCGCGTGTGTTTGTGTTGTGTTGCTGCGGATACATGAGGCTTTTTTCAATGTAAATGTAAACAATTCTGCTTATTTTTGCAGGGAAATGCTTTAATATTAACAATTATAGGGATCTAAAGATATTCAGCTATTACAGCTAAATTGCATATAGGGTTAAAAAAATAAAACAAAGCGAGGACTTCACTCAGACGAGGATTGTGTTGCTTGTTGTGTGATTTTCACCTGGATCAAAATTCCAGTTGGTATGAAATTGGGTCTTAATGTACCAAACACTTCCATAGAGAATGTGAAATATAAAAATGTTAAAAAAAAACAAAACATATGGGCAGGTTTTAGGCGTCCCAGATGTAACGGTACTGTTTTACATCCATCACATCATCTCCTTTGTATGATGTCATCATACTTTCAAATGCATTTTTTTTTTAAATCACAAACTGTGATCAAAGACTTCTAAGATGGGGTTTTCACTAAGAAGTCCTACCTGTCCAGCTGATTTGTCCCAGCTGGTAACGTTACATAATCTCTTTCTGTTCCATATGACTCATTTGTGATGTATGAGTCTCGGTGGGTTCCTTAGTGAGATTTACAGTCAGGTGATTTTGATTCTCATTGGATCGTACTTCGAATACTAACTCCATGATTTGATTAATCGATTACATCAAACACTTAGGCCATACATGCATGTGCCGCACAAATTGTTCCAAAGACTGCTTGGGCAAATGGCAGAGGCTGAATTCATTGTTTGTTGGTCAGGATAGAGGCCATTAAAAACAAACATCAGGCATCATTATCGTGGTTTTGCTGAATCTCATGGAATGCTCTTTGTGATGGCTTTAACTGTGGTGAGCAGATGCAATATCTGAGTCAGGCTAGTTGTAATGGGACAGAGGGCATGTGGTCTGCCATGCGCCAGACTGCCTCGTTGTCCTCATGCTTCATTATGCATTACACATGGTTCACGGTCTACACATTTGCAGAATATAATGCATATGCATAAGTTAAAGGGATAGTTGAACTAAAAATGAACATTTTGTCATTACTTACCCTCAAGTTGTTCCAAACCTGTATGAGTTTGTTTTTTCTGTAACCCCCCCCAGTTTACAGTAGCACTTGACTTCCATGGTGCTGTCAACTCTCTGGTTACCAACATTCTTCAAAATATCCTATTTTGTGTTCAACAGACGAAAGAAACTCATAGAGGTTTGGAACAACATGAGGTTCAATATATGACAATTTTCATTTTTGGGTGAACGCATGTTTTTGAAGTCAGCATGATACAGAATTTACGCTATGTTTCCTCTCTATTGTGATGTATGTCTCTGTGAAAAAATGCTTCTCGAACAAGATAAAATGTAGGGTGGGACTTGATTTTGTCCATGGGGAATTGATTGGATGGTTGTGGTTTGCTATTGGTCGATCCCGTGTGAGTGACAGGTTGCCCCGCCCTCACGCCAGTCAACGCGTCATCAGAGAAGAGAAGTCACTGCAAGAGGGAGTGGAAGTTTTTTTGATTGAAGATTTCAAGGGCATGTGATTTAAGAAAAATCTATAATATGCGCACATATAAATCATTGATATAAACTGCAAAATTCTATAATAAAATAAGAATTGCCTATTTTGATTTCATGGTGACTTTAAGCCGCAGGACAATATCCGGATGTACTCATGCCAGCTGCAGTGGGTAGGTGTGGTCTGTCCTGTATCCTGTCATCCTCTTCTGGATCTACTAGTGCAGAACATTCAGATTTTGTCGCCTCAGCACAAAATGGCATGTTTGTGTGTGTAGGAGTGTGCACGTGTCTGAGTTCATGCTGTACATGCAGGGCATCTGTGTTGAATCTGGTCCTTTTGTGTGTAGATCCCGCTTCATGCGCTCATAAATGATTTACTTTTAATGGCTCTCAGATTCAGAGTGTTTGCTTCCAATAGCGTCATGAAACATGTTGGTGTGTGTACAGTAGGGTTAGTATTGTCTGGGATACGATTTATGAGCTTGCTTTTCACTGTGCAGAGCCTCTTAATGATTTTATCAGTCACCACCAGTATTGGTTGTGTGATTTCATAAACTTGATTATTTCTGTTCTGGTTAGATTTGAATGCACTGGAGATAGCCATCCTATAACTCTTATAATAGGCAGCCTCTTAAGTGTTGTAATTGGGTCCTGTAACTTGAGGTAATGGTGCAAGTGAAATTTTAGCTGCTGAAGTGAGTTGGTGTAATGGTAAGATGAGCTTGCCTGTTTCTGCTGGAAGTGTGTTCAATAAGGGTCTTTTCTCTCTGCAGCCTGGCCTTCGGGACTCTCTACCCAGCCTATTCCTCTTATAAGGCTGTGAAGACGAAAAACGTCAAGGAGTATGTGAGTATTTCAGTACTTCAATTAGGATACTTGTTCTTATTTTTTCTTCTATATATATATATATATATATATATATATATATATATATATATATACTCTCTCTCTCTCTCTCTCTCTCTCTCTCTCTCTCTCTCTCTATATATATATATATATATATATATATATTACTTTAGTATGGCTATATTTTATCAATATATAAATGTTTTGTTGGTTGATTTTAGTTATTTATACTATACATTTGGTACCGAGGTTGAAAGGTTAAGCCTGAGGAATTCACTGACTAAACCATACCATTTGTGTAAATGGAATATTTATTTTTTTATTTCTGCTATGCAGAAATCAAATCTTGGTGAAATATGTACATTCATCATACTATTTTTGGAAACGATTTATCTTGGAGTCGCAGGTTACTAGTTGCTATGGAGACTACTAGGGCAGCAGTTTGCTCCCCCGGACATCAGTTTTAGTCTCATCTGTATTACAAATAGGACTGCTTTCCATTCATCATGTCTAGTAAAAGGTTTGGGCATTTCATAACCTTTTATTCTTCTGTTTTCTCGTGGAACTGGATTTATGAATGCACAAGCTTTTAATAAAAAGGCAAACATAGTGATGCGTCATTTGATAATTGCTTAATTGGCTGTTAATCTTAGTGGCAGTACAGATAGAGACAAATGTTTGGGTTTTCAGCATATTTTGTATTAGCATTTAATTTATTTAGCCAGTTTAATTGCAGTTACAGTCTTTAATATGACTTATTTATCATGCATAATGCAAACAGTCCTCAACACATCTGATGACCGTGTTCCATATACATGTTGAATTAGACTACCCTGCGATTATAAATTATATATATATATTTTTTTGTGGTAGTTCTGTTACATGTGGAGGATGAAAGCTGTTAAATAAACAAAAGTCCACAAATGTATCTACATAAATAAATAAATATATAAATACAAAATGTACAAATAAATACATAATTATCAAAATCCACATATTCCTTTTAACTAAAAAAATATATAAATAAGTAAATGTGCTATGAAATAAATTAAAATATTTTGTTCCCTCAAGTTTACCTCATAATGTGATTATGAAAAGAAGTTCTGGAAAGAAGTAGCCTGGCTTGTTTTCTCTGCTTACAACACACTTTTTTTTTATTTTTGAAATAGAAATTTGAAATAGAATTTGTTATAGAATGTACTGTTTTTTTGAGACTCCGGGTCAAAAGAGATGGACAATAGATTAAAACTGCTTACGCCTAAAGCCTATTTCGAGGCTTTTCTGTGTTGATTAAAAAAGTTATTCTATGACTCTCTTTATTATCGGCTAACAAGAAAGCTGCTAAAACTGCTCTGTTTTTTTTTTTTTTTTAATTCCTAAAGATTACTGTTATTTATTCCAATTTATTTTTAATAATGTATGTTTTTCTTTCCTCAGGTAAAATGGATGATGTACTGGATAGTGTTTGCGATATTTACGACGGCAGAGACGATCACAGATATGCTTCTCTCTTGGTCAGTCAGCTGATTTTTTTAAGACGTATTTATCATGCTATATACATTTATTTTGGTTATAAGCCACAACATTTTTTGATTTATATAATAATATGGTCATCTTTATCCTATTATTATTATTAATGATTATTCATCTGTCTTTACTTTTGTTGCATTAATTAATATGTTGACCTCCCATTTTGCCAGGTTTCCATTTTATTTTGAGCTTAAGATTGCCTTTGTTGTCTGGCTGTTGTCCCCGTACACCAAGGGCTCCAGCGTATTGTACCGCAAGTTCGTGCACCCCACGCTCTCCAATAAAGAAAAGGTACAAATGGACTTGCTTCATGAATAGAATCAAACTATTGTTATAGATCTTATGTAGACCCGCCCCTTTTCAGTGCTGCGCTCGTTGTCTTTTGAATTACGGTCTGTATTTTCACAGTGATCTTGCATAGGTATGAATGAACTGCTCGTTAAAAAATTTCCCGGTCGACATTTGTTAAGACATCTGCATTACAATGCTCATGATAACTTTAAGTAACTACAATAAGTAAATCCACTTCACCAACTAATTACTCCTCGACAGCGATGCCATAGAAACATACAGAGCGAACGCAAAAACGGAAGTAAGACAATATTCGAAAGATGACGGCGCCCATGTTTCCCTGGTCCATAAGGTCTATAGGTGGTTGTTTTCAAACAGGTTTCCTGAGCACTCCACCAATCAGGGAGTTAAGGCAGATTAATGGATTTGTGTTGCATGATGTATATGTGTGTTACAGGAAATTGATGAGTACATAACCCAGGCTAAAGACCGCAGTTATGAGACCATGATGCGGTTTGGGAAGAGAGGACTCAACATTGCAGCTACTGCAGCCGTTACAGCCGCCTCAAAGGTGAAATTAAAGCATTCATTTCTTTAAAAGACACCACAAACTTTTGAACAGTAGCATATAATATTATTTCTTTCGAAAATAAAAACATAATATACTTTTTTGTGGTGGAGCCAATGAAAATAAGCAAATATCAAAATTCTTATTGTTGTGTGACCTGTAGGTGCAGATATTTATTGCATATAAAGTTAAAGGGATAGTTCACATAAAAATTAAAAATCTGTTAGTTACTCACCCTCATGTCCTTCTAACCCCATAAGACTTTAGTTTATCTTCAGAACGCGAATCAAGTTATTTTTAACGTGTAACGCTTGACATGTGAGAACCTCTCATATTTCAGTTCACTCTCTCATATTTCATTAAAAAGATCTTCATTTGTGTTCCATAGTTAGGAACAACATGACAGTAAATGATGACAGATTTTTCATTTTTGGGTGAAAGAAATGTATCAGTGTATATTTTGTATAGTGTAGTGTCAAGTTCACATTTGTCTTTTATTCAAACTGTGTTTCAGCAAAGAACAAGTACATCCATGCACTTGTAACGTTTGTCTTTTGTGTATTGGACTGCAGGGTCAGGGTGTGTTATCAGAGAAGCTGCGTAGTTTCAGCATGCAGGATCTGACTCTGATTCAGAACGAAGACGAGCTGCAGCTGGACAGCACAGACGACACCCACACCGCAGCCACGCTACCTCGTGCTAAAACTGTCACACGCTCAGGTAACACATAAAACAACAGTGCACTTCGTGTATACAGACATCTTTGGAAAACAGTCACGACAAGTCAAACCATGAACGTATTAAGTTCATGGTTTTAAGTTGAGCTGAACTGTATTAAGTTCAGCAAACTTCTGAACTATATGAACGGCATTCGGGGATCGACTTATCGAGTCTGTTTTCCAAAGATGGCTCCTGCCTGTATACACAAAGTGGACTGTCTTTATAAAGTATATTCTTATTAAACGGTCTGTACACTTACACAGTTCTCAATGCTTCGTTTTGCATGTAGGGACCCTCATTATGTTACTGTGTGAGTGTGGGGCTATTTTGAGCCTTGTTAGTGGTATAAACTATAGCGATTTCTTTTTACTTATTAAATTCCCCCATTACCAAAGAACGTATATTGACAAGAAGTGAAAGCCAATAGAACGTTCCATTGCAACACCAGCGCCCAGCAGCAGCCCTACGCTTCCGCCATTTCGGGGGTGAAAGCGACTCGGCAGTCATATATTTAGTCCAGTGCAGAGATCATTTTTAGGTTGAAATAATTAGGCTAGGTGATTATTTAACTCGCATAGCAGTAAAAAAAAAAAGAAGTTGCTACTTAACCGGGCTTTTACCCCCACATAACTTGAGACAGGGAAGTTTGAGAATTTAATTCATTAGGCTATAGCCTATTACTCTCCACATTAAGTGTGATAGATGAAGAATAAAGTGATATCAGTTCATAAAGTTGTAATAACATAGACCGTTTCCCGGGAGGTACACATAACGTTACTTACAAAAATAAGTTATCAATGAAATAAATTAATTCAGCAATAAATGTTGTAACTTACTAAAATGTAAATGTTTGACAATATATAACAGCAAAAGAATAGCTTTACAGTAAACATTTTTTTTCTTATATTAACGACGCAAGACCATGTGTAAACAAACAAAAAAACACTGTCCAAAAAAGCCAATGTCCAAAGTGGCAATTAGTTATAGGGTAACGGACACATCGCATCAATGATCATCATGTTTATAGCATGATCCAGGGGATTAAAACGTCCAAAATATATTTCAGGCCTAGTGGAGTTGGTAACTAATAATAGTAGTAAAAGTGTAAAGTTGCATACAATGGAAACACTCACTAATGCAAGAAAAAACTACCTCAAAAAACTGTTATCTGTGCTGTTGTCCAGTAACTCCAGTTGGAATTTTCACCCCGATATGGCTGCCGCGCTACCGATGCGCCATCTAGTGGCTGTTACCAAAAAAGCATCAGAGTTTCGCCTCTTGTTCTTCTATACTCTTTGCCATTACTAGCGTTATACGCTAAACAGTTTTTTGAGATAAAACTCTTTACATTCGATTATCATGAAAACAAATCTCAGAGAACGGTTGAATTGGTACCGATGTTTTATTAGACCAAAGGTTCATTTTGCGCCGGAGTTCTCCTTTAATGGCTACAACGCAACACTATTTGTACAAATTGCTGCACATTTTTTTAATCCTGAATTTTGCACCCATACGTAACGTTGAAAAGTATTTGTTTACGTGCATAGTAAAACATATCTGCAACATTTATGAAGTTTGTGGATAATTGTGCATGCATTTATTAATTGTAACGATACTAAAAGCATAATAAAGTAAGCTATACTATATACAAAAAATCAGATGAGCCCAGAATGTGAATGCAACGTGTTTAATTAAGAAAACGTTAAGCATTTTCCTCCCATAGAAAACCATTATATGAACGCTTAATTTGGGTTAATGCAGATTAGAATGTCCACATCCAAGATCCAGATCCGGAAAGTTTGGCAAGCTGTTTTGAACTCCCAAAACTAACTCCAAATGAACTTTGTTTCTGCCTAATGTTGTTTGAAATGATGTCACACCAGTTCGTTCTCCAGTTTTGCTTGAAGTGTATCTAGGAACTAAAACATAATAGGCCACGTTCACACAGTCAGTGTTTGGTTGCAAAACAACAACAGGTGTGACTCCTTAAATGTAATCCTGTACACACAGGAGCAGACAGGTGCGGATTGAAAAATGTTGGTATGTAACCACAATAAATCCTCTTCTTTAATGTCTGTACATGACCAATAACTGTAGTAAATATCCTTTTACTATTTCAATGTAACTCCTATTTAAAATGGCCTGTTCAAACACACACAGGCAGGTCAGTGAGGTGTGTATGTGTGTGTTTGCTGACTCACTGAAAGCCGCTTTGCAGGCAGCCATTGTCTCAGCCTGTTTATAATGCTGATGTGACCAGCATGTGATTCAGCTGCCTACTGGATACAGAGAGAGACGAGGGATCAGTCTGCGGGAGTTTGTTCATGCTCAGCTTGGATGAGTTTCAGCACTCATTCAAGCAGATCAAGGCCATGAAGTTTAGTCTCTTCACACACTATGACGTCATTAAACTGCAAGTTGCTGCAGGTCATGACCCCCATGTGAAGCTTTACAGGAAACATGAACAAAGCCTGTGGTAGAGTTATCCAGAGTTTCACAGAGGTGATGATTTCAATAATGAGATTCTGTTAGCACACAGAGCGCCTTCTTTGAATTACCGAGCGTCAAACATACATAGTGAACAGACAAGTAAAGGGCTCTTCTTTGTTTCAGGCTTTGAATGAGGTCTGGCAAGCTTTAAATGCCAAAGAGCGCCACAATGCCTGAGAGCCAATGTGCACTCCACAAGACACAAGACACATTTATGCTCCTATTTGGCTTGGTTGATTCGTTTTATTCGATTCATGTGACCTCTTAAATGTGGCTCATTTTAGGTACTTGTCTGTAACCGATACTTAACAGGCAGCAGTTCTAACCTTACCTTTTTATCGTATCATAACGTCAAACAAATTTCATATCACTTAACTGATATTTTGTTATCAACTTCCATTTTTTTGAATATACATATCAAAACACATTTCCATTTTCAAAACCATTTTCACATATGAAAGTGGCCCCAATCTAAAACTGTAAATGTCAGTTCCATCATTTGAGCAACTGTGTTGTGAATGTTCAACCAAATTATTATATTTATTCATAAATAAATAATATAAAAATATATATACAGAATTTATAATCATGAGATTAAAGGAGTAGTTCACTTTAAAAAAAAAAACTTTTGCTGATAATTTACTCACCCCCATGTCATCCAAGATGTCCACGTCTTTCTTTCTTCAGTCGAAAAGAAATTAAGGTTTTTGATGAAAACATTCCAGCATTTTCTCAATATAATGGATTTTAATGGGAACCAAACGGTTCAAGGTCCAAAAGACAGTTTCAATGCAAACTGCAAACTGTTCAAAGGGCTTTAAACGATTCCAGATGATGAATAAGAGTCTTATCAAGTGAAACGATCGCTCATTTAAAAAAAATTATAATAAAGTTTAAGTTTTATAAGCACAAATGCTCGCCTTACGCTGTTCTGTGACTCCTGTTCGAAGTCGTTTATCAAAATGAACGAATCTTTTTTCGTGTCATTTGGTTCATTCAACGAACGAATTGATGTGATTGAATGAATTGAAAAGGCTGTTACTTTGCTATATTTTATGTACATTCATGCAAACATATTTCCAGATAATGTACACATTTCTAACATTTTGATTATGTATATGAATTATGAAAAGAGAACCTCATATTAAGGGATCCTTGGCATTAAAAAGTTTGAAAACCCCTGACCTGAGAGACCTACTCAAATCTATTTTCCTCGGACCAATAAAAAGCAAATGGCAACATGTCACATTCATGGCAGCTGCTCATCTAGAAGGGAAAAATCCAGTACAGCACATGCTGCAGAGTATGAATTCTGTCTAAACTGTATCCATCATTGTTGTTTTCCCCAGTTCGTGCCACACCCATTCCGGCTGACACTGAATCACAGCACAGCTCTCGCTCGGATGAGCAGTCGGATAGCAGGACTGAGCATTCAGATGAAGATGCGGCTGATAAGGCCCCCAAACGCACTGCAAGCGTCAGAGCAGCCAAGAAACCAGCCGCTACCAAGACAGAGGTTTGTGCTCTACAACCCTCCTTTTTTTCTTCTTGTTTCTTTTACTCATAGACAGGGCCTAAAGCTATTTTTTGCCACTCCTACCAATGGCGGATGACTTAGAAGTTAATGCAAAGTGGATTTACTTTCACAGAGCAGAAAACGGTGTCTTTTTGACATGTCAACAACACAAACTAAACTCTTCCAGGCCTCAGCCACAACTACAGTGTTTGAGGATCAAAGTACATTGTTCACAGGCAGCCAATGAAGACCATAGGCCATTATGCAAACAAACCTACATAGTTTTGAACAGGAATAAACACTGAAATTATTGACAACTTGTTTCAGGGAGTTCAAAATTGGTTCTTTCTTTTGGGAGACAATAACTCATTTGATCTTTGAAACTTTGTAGACCGTTTACTTTTGCAAAGAGCCTAATTACACACTACATGAAAGGTAATATCTGGAAAAGCATAATAGGGGCACTTTAAGGCTCTGAATACTTAATAATTTTTTTTTATACATTTGCAAATCCATTTTTTTTTCTTTATCGTTTTGTCATAATGGGTTATGGAGAGTAGATTCAAAAAAAAAAAAAAAAGAAAAAAGTTTTTAAAGATGTGGTCACATTTAGCATTTTAGCTTTTATGCATACATTTTCCCAGGTGAAATCCAGTCATTTCAGAAGGAATCCACATTATCTGGAATTTTGTTTGAGGGCAAAATATTTTGCAACAAGTTCAAGTTAGATATTTGGATTCACTGAGTTGATTAACTCAAAACTGCTCGGTTGGAAAGTGACTTCTGTGTGAGCAGTGCTTCATGCTTCTCTACACTATTGACCTTTTTGCATTTTGACAATGTGATTGCACCTTAAAGAGATACTCCACTTTTTTTTGGAAAAATGCTCATTTTACCACTCTCCCAGAGTTAAACAGTTGAGTTTTACTGTTTTCACATCAATTCAGCCGATTTTCTGATATTTAGAAGAATATCAGTAACCAGACAGTTTCTGGTCTCATAGACTTCCATAGTATATATTTTTTCCCTAAGTCTATGAGACCAGAAACTGTCTGGTTACTGATATTCTTCTAAATATCAGAAAATCGGCTGAATGGATTAGAAAACGGTAAAACCCAACTGTTTTACTCTGGGAGAGTGGTAAAATGAGCCTATTTCCAAAAAAGTGGAGTATCCCTTTAAGGCTGCATCAAAGCAAAATAAGAAGGGTCTCTGAATACTTTCTGAATGCACTGTAGTCTATCACATCTGCCTGTTTGAAGGTAAACCAGAAAAAGATAACCGTTTATTTTCTGTATACACATTTTCCAATGCCTTGTGTTTGTGAGCTGTCATTAGCACATCCCTTCACTAAATTGTGTATCCTTTAGGTCTTGTTATACATGTAAAATTGTATTAATCCTATTTTTCTTTCACCAACGTTTCTTACCGTCATCCCCAGCAGACCACCAAGACATTGAAGAAACCGCCAAAGAAGAAAGCCACAACAACGACCAACAACATTGCCGAATCACCATGAGTCACACTGCGTTCATCCATCCCTGGGAAATACACAAACATCACATGCTTTCTCACACTAACAACCAAATATTTGGGCCCTTTGCTAACGATACGCACTGATACACACAAACACATCGCCTGGGGCTGTTTTTTGTCTAATAGTTTAAATGCGGTGAATATATGTAGACATCAGGCTTCATGCGTTTATTTTCCACGTTATCACTCCTGTGTGTGTGTGTTAAGTAAGGATGGGTCTTGTCTTATTCTCTGTAGGCCTTAATACTAGAGAACATCTTTGTAAAGCATGAGACCAGAAAGCAGTGCCTGCACATGATCGCACACTTTTGTTCCTTATAACCATGCCAGAACTCTGTTTTCCAAAATGGAGGCCGGTTCCCCCTTTTTTTTTTTTTTTTTTTTTTAGCATGTAGGCCACACGCTTTGGGACGAACAAGAATTGGGAACAGAACAATCGGGCTATAAAATGAATAGGAACAGACTTGATTTACACGAGTACAGCGTCCGTGGAGAGTTCTGGAAGCGCCCAGAGCAGTGCTGTTCGTATTCCGGGCCTCAGGATATCCAAAGTCTTGAGATTTGTTGTGAATATTCATGATCGAAGAGGTCAGATGTCTCCTGGAAGCTGCAGGCTCTGCCATTAATAGCGCTTTTGTCAGCTGGGGCTGGAGGCGTTCAACTCGCATAAGCAGTCCCTTGTGCTAATTTTACATTTGTGTAGCGTTTTTAAAGTATCGTAAGACATTTATGTTAACCGGTAGATCTGATAGCAGGTGTCATCTGGTTGTTTTGGTAGGGTGCAAGATGAAACAATCACATGTCGGCCACAGAAAAGGGAAGATCCCTCAGTCTTGAGTAATCTGTGTTTCAATGCTGGAATTGTTCTTGTGGCTTGCTTCGGAAACTCAAATACTCCATATCAGTTTGTAGTGAGCAGATGGCGCAGCACAAAGCATGGCATCACCCAAGACCAACCGTCGTTGTTGAAAATCATAGGTGCTTTTATTGAAAATGCTCCATTTTTTTTTTTAAAGACATCTATAGATTTTTTTGTTGTTGTTGTTGTTGTTGTATTGGACCCTGTGAACCAAGTTCATTTGAAATTGCATGTAACCCAAAATCCAAATGTGGGCAGTTGTGTTTCCCAGCACTGCTGTTCAGAACTGAAGGATTTGGTGAGTTCAATGGCAGTTTGAATTACAGTTTTGCAGTCTTACTGAGAGCGTGTAGGGGGCGCTGTTGGACAGAAAAAGAGCAGTGTGCCCTGCCTGTCGGATTAAATGATTATACTGTACATGGATGGGGAATGCTTTTGAATCAGTTGGTTATTTAGCTGAATTTTACCTGAAAATGTTTATTTGTATAATACTATTGACTGTACAAAATTTCTGCCTTACTCTGATAGGCTTTTTAAGTTATTTTTCTTTGTTTACATTTAATTGGTCACTTTTGTAGTGTAGGATGTACAGAAACATGTTAATTTCTTGTTAAGTGCTATTTGTTTAGTGTATCTTCGTGTGGTGTTTTAATTTAAAGCGTTTTGTCTTCTCTGCCTTATTTTGTAGAGAAATGAAACATGGGGCAGTTGCATTTGAGAAGAACAGATTTTTTTTTAACAGTGCAAAACAGTCTCACATTAGATGCTCAAACGTGTAGTTAATAGAAGATAGATGTTTCTGTTGAAACACGGTTTAGAAATAACTTGCGGTAATTCAGTCTTGACACACTGCTGTCTTAACTATCATGATCTGCAATTCATTGTTGCTGATTGGCAACTTGACATTCTCTGTCTCAGTCTCTTGAGTGATTCTTTTTTAAAAGAAACTTGAGTTTTTCTTTTAATTAAATGCTAGTGTGGTTGGTTCTCACCAACCCACACAAAAGTGAAAAATGACAAGTCAGTCTCACTCTTTTCTTTGTTCCTGTTTTTCTCTTCTTTCCCCCCTTTGTTCAATATGTCTTATTTGCATAATCAAAAATGACTAACTTGTTTTTAATTCACGATGCCTGCATTGAGTGAGATGTGACAAATTAAACGTATTCAGTTTATATTTTTGGTGATGTGTTTGAAATTGCTTTTATGGCATACAGATTTGAACTGTGAGAGAATAGTCAACATTAATAAACTGTTTGTGCCAATTCTCAATGCTCTTAATATATTAAAAGAATGAAAAAGAAAGAGATTGCTGCTAAGTGTGTACTAACTGACCTTGAATTATTATTCAATAAAAATACAATTACATCCCTAATGTATTATTCATTTAACTCATTTAGGATCTAGTTTTTCCATCTTCTTTTTTAAAAACTATGTTCATCATACTGTGGGTGAAATGTACTAGGCATTTGTATCTGGCAAACCTGCAGTAGTTCTTCTGTAAAGATTCATTCTTTTTTTGTAAAGCTTCATTTTTTTTGTTACTTCAGCACGTCCAGTCCATGCGCTATTTTTGAGGCACAAGAATAATAACTGTACCACCTGAAGTTTTATTCTTCCGCGCAACAGACCAGGAGACTCTTGAGGTATCTTTCACGCAGAAGTTCTTTATTGCGTAGCTGTAGTCATCTCAAGGATATAGTCTAACTAAGGGAAAATATTCCCTTACAATTTATACATTTAGGGGAGGAGTTTACATTGAGGAGGGGGAGAAACTGAAACAAAAGTAAATGTATATGATTCAACAGGCACCTCAGTTCATCAGCATAGCAGTTTTCTGTGCCTTGAGATGCTAATCTGGAGGAGTTAAATTGAGGAGTCTCTTGAAACAAAGCAAATGTAAATGATTCAGCAGATTACCAGAGACGCTAATCTAATCAGTCTGACCAGCGTGGTCCCACTTTTACCATTACAAAAGCAAAGCTGAATCTTGAACTTAATGGCCAGGAAGCGCATAAAGACAAAAGCTAATGTGTGACACCTGGAATGCTTGGCTTAATCTTATTGGCCTCAAAATGGTAAACACTGTATACATTTTACAGTTGAAAATACTGTTAAACCTCAATGAAACATTGAATAAATTTGTATTTCTTCACACCTTTAGCTGCATTAACAATCATTCCTTTCATTTAATATCTGCCCTTAGTTTTTCATGAAGAACTCAGTTTTGTTATGGTTTAGGAGGAGCTGTACATTTTCAAGCTTAAAGTGTTAGTTCACCTGAAAATGAAAATTCTGTCACTAATTACTCACCCTCATGTTCCAAACTCAATTGATTTTTGTTCATCTTCGGAACACAAATAAAGATCTTTTTGATGAAATCTGTTCAAAAAGTTAATAAAGAGATCTTAAAACTAATCTAGATGAATTAAGCTCAAATTGATGAATTGATGCTCAAGCTCAAACGTGCTGCGTAACACGAGACTGAACCTCATTGGCTCTTGCTGAAGCTCAAACGTGATGCGTAACACGAGAATGGACCTCATTTGTTCTTGCTGAAGGTCGAACCAGAGCCATATAGGCTTGTTTGAGATGCGCCTCGCCTCGCCTGCAATGTAGTCGAGAGTAGGTGGCTGCAGTGAGGGGAGGATCTCGGTTCTCGCAGTGAATCAGACACCTGAGATCAAAGGCGGATATCGCGGGATTAACGGGATTCACGCTCGTGCACGTGTTGCTAATAAACTGGATGTGATTTAAGTTCTGTTGCTTTTATATAAAAATAAATATAATGAACAAGACACCCAGAGCCGGCCCAAGCCTTTTGGGGGCCCTAAGCAGAATTTGATTTGGGGGCCCCTCTCATGACGCGGAGTCACCTTTGACGATTATTGACACAAATGTCACGCAATAATGATACATTATAAATGAATACACTTAGGTTATGTATTAGGCTACAACAAAATTAATACTTAATAAAAAGAAAATAGATGCCTACTTAAATAAAAAAAGTTTTAACAGTCTTAAAACTGTATCAAAACATATAAAAGAAATATTATTTGCTAAAATTATGACAACTGAAACATAACAACAAGCCTATTGTTGAAAACTAAAAATATTTGGCCTACTATTTCTCAACTGTCTCAATACAGTGTAAATGTCCTCAAAAGCTTTATTATTATTATTATTATTATTATTATTATTATTATCGTAAGAGACTTTGTTAGATATTACATGACATAATCCAACAAAGTCTGTTACTATAATACCGGTAATGATGTTCTGGCGCTCGTTGTATGTGTGTATGCAATGTGTTTTTCCCCTCGGGGCTTGCCGTAGATGGGTCGTGCGCAGGCTGCATGCGCACTTGGTAGGCTACTGGAGTGTTGTATGGCAAGCCGTTTTTGCTTTAATTGTACCCAGCCTTAATCGTCATTATTGCATTTTTACCAGTAAGAATTCAATTAGAGAGCTTTACAATTTAATTCCTACTAGTAGCAATTACAATTATAGAGCTCTCTAATTAAATTCGTACTAATAACAATTACGAGAGAGCTTTTTAATTTGATTTTTACTAGTAAGAATATAATTGCAAAGCTCTTTAATTGAATTGCAGAGCTCTGCAATTGCATTACTAGTAAGAATTACATTAGAGAGCTCTCTAAATCAGTTTTTACTAGTAAGAATTACATTAAGAGAGCTCTTTAATGCAATTATTACTAGCTTTGATTTTTACTAAGATTTTTATTACTAGCTTATTACATTCAAGATGATTAAGTTACCGATGACACAATAAAGTCTCCATTTACAACCAGGTAACGTTAGCATAATACCGGTATTGTGTTTTATGCATACGAATACTGTATTTTTGCTACTTAAAAGTGTTCTTAATGTCTTTTGAAATTAAAAGTTAATAATATTTCAGTAATTCATATAGAGGTAACGTTAATGGAAGAATTGGAAGGAGCGTTTAGTCTAAAACTATTTTCTGTCATTTGTGTTTCTTGCAATGTTTGTGCTTGTAATATCGTTTTATGTTGACAGACCATGTTTTTACACAAAATATTTCAGGTAATTACTCTGGTGCTGATGCACCGTGTAAAGTACACAATCTGGCAACTACTGAAGCAAACATAAACCTGCAGAGGTGAATGGACATGGGAGCTAAAGAGCCTTGTAAGTGGTTTTGTAACTTTTGTTGTAAATATTCATAGAATTACATTTACATTATAGTAGGCTACAGATTATAGTAATCTTGTTCAAATGTTAGGAAATAATTTTGTTGGTTTAAGAAAGCCAACATATTGTTAACCTATTTACACTATTATTATTATTATTATTATTATTATATCTGAGACATAAATGTTCAACTCTTAACTCCTAGAGCTTTAGTGCTAAAAGCACAGACCATAAAGGATCTCATCCAAAAGACATCCAAAAATGAGAATTAATCTTCTTTTTTAGGCTATGAGGAAAAATACCGTGCACACAAAGAACAGAGCTCAATGCTGCTAACAGGGGGAGCAGCTGGACAACTAAAAGAGATAATAGTAGAACACTATTAATACAGATTCCTGGATTATTCTTCTGCAAGAACCAAGACAAGCAAAGACTGATGATGAGTGCTCTGAGCAAACACCGCAGTCAAGTTCTACAATAATGTTGGGCATTTACTGTACGCAGAACTTCTAATAATTTATGTGGATGCCATAAACCTGTTAGAATTTGATGTTTTAGTTTTGAGATTAAGAAAATTGTATGCTTTAACAATGTTATAGCTAAGCATTTTTGGGGGGTTTTAAAAGAACATTTTGGGAACAAAAATAAACTTCCGCTAAAAACTTTATAAGAAAGGTAGGGGATAATGTTTTTAAAAATGTTATGATTAAACCTTTATAGAAGGTCATCACAAAACATTTTCAGAGTGCTCTTAGAGAATGTTATGTCATCTTTTAAGAGAACATTCTGGGAACAAAAAGAAAACTACCCGCTGAAAATGTTATAAGAACATCAGGGAATAATGTTCTAACAATGTTAGCACTAAACATATTTAAAATGTTTTTAGAGAATGTTATTAGAACTTTTAAGAGAACATTCTGGGAACAAAAAGAAAACTACTCGCTGAAAATGTTATAACATCAGGGAATAATGTTCTAACAATGTTAGCACTAAACATATTTAGAATGTTTTTAGAGAATGTTATTAGAACTTTTAAGTGAACATTTTAGGGACAAAAAGAAAACTACCCGCTGAAAACATTATTAGAACACTGCATGGTAATGTTCTCAGAACATTTTTAGAACAAAAAAATTCTAGCTGGGATAGTCCACTTTGGAAACTGTAGATGTCACGGTTTAACCCCCTCAAACGTGAAACTTACACGTTTGCGTTAACACGCTCCATTGGAGAGATATCCGGTTTATTCGCCTCTGCCATAACGACCTATTGGTTTTCATTAAAACGAGAAAATTGAATTTTGTTTTATTTACGATCACTGGGAAATGTTCTATTATTGAAAATGAAAAAAAAACAAACAAAAAAAAACATTTATTGTTATTAGATGTCACGGTTTAAACTCAAAACCATAAATAGGGCTATACTGTCCTCTTGTGTCAAATTATATTTCTACATTTATTTTTCCAACAAATAAAACCAAATAAAACTCCGTCCAATAGCCTACACCCGTGCACTCAACAGATGTGGCTCAGTTGATAAAGCGTTGGGCTTTAATCAAGAAGATCTGAGTTCAATTCCCATACTTGCGTTAAATTGTTGTGATTATATCAAACAAAGTGGCCTAAACAATATTTCTTCAACCCGTTTTTTACAGTCTATGATCTAGACGCATGACTTAAACGCAGGCAGACACAGCAACAGTTGTAACTTGTAGGCAGGTATATTGATCATTAAATCAGAGTTTTGTTGTCTTGAATGATTCATTCAGTCATTTTCATTCATTCATTGATTTATGTCACTTGTTTAAGTAATCTAAAAATAAATAAAAATAAAAAATAACCCCGATAAGGGGGCCCCCTGGTAGCCAGTTTAGTTAGGCCGCTTAGTTCGCTTATGCCTCGGGCCGGCTCTGTTAAAAGGCTATGGTTAACACGGTTAACGTGGCTTAACGTCGATGTAATATGTTTTAGCGTACCTTTTGCTTAAACGAGGAGCTGGGGGACGCTGGAAAAATAGACATTTTACTCATTAGGCTGCTTCATTAAAAACGTGACATTTAGACATTTTCTTCGGGGTGGATCCAGGCAAATGAATCATTTTCACCTTGAAAATAATACATATATATATATATATATATATATATATATATATATATATATATATATATATATATAGCATTTTAAATAATAGAACATTTCT